ATCAGGATGTAAGCAGGAAAAAATAAGACATCCTAATAGTAATTTCTGGGATCCTAAAAATATATATGCTGAAAATGTAGAGGGGCTACAGCCCACTTTATTTGGTGCTGACAATGAAATGACACTGATTTTCCCCTGTAAATTTTTTTCTAAGTCCAGTGACAAAAGAGCATCCAGCACTGTATAGGAAGTATATAAGTCCTCAGTGTATGACAGTCCTGTAACAAAACTGAAGCAAATTTTTTTTATTTTTGACCACTACACTTAATCAATTTAATTGAGTGTCTGCTTTTTATTTGTCCTTCCTCCAGTAACAGGTAACTACTCTTTGCAACCTCATCATGCCACTTACCACCAAATTACTTCTTTCCATGCTGGCTGCTTCTTCATGTCTTTTCTTCTGTTTTACAGATCTGGCACCAACACATATCAGCTGGCAGCCATCAGTAAATGCAGGCACACACCATACTGACAGATATGCCAACACTGAGCTGACTGTGAGGCGAGGACAAGCCTTCACTATTACCTTGTACTTCAACAGACCAAAGCAGTCTGGGGAAAGCCTAGCATTTGTCACTGAAATAGGTAACACTCCCTCAGCTTCAAAGAACCACAGAAGGGTTTGGGTTGGAAGGGACCTTAAAGCCCACCCAGTGCCACCCCCTGCCATGGGCAGGGACACCTCCCACTAGCCCAGGTTGCCCAAAGCCTCATCCAGCCTGGCCTTGAACCCCTCCAGGGATGGGGCATCCACAGCTTCTCTGGGCACCCTGGGCCACTGCCTCACCACCGTCACACCATAATCTTTATCCCTTGTAGTTCTCCCCTTATTCTATTTAGAGATGCAATTTTTCTTCATGTATTTTTAATGCTCCCCACCCCCTTAACACGCTAATTTCAAGTCTGAGGTGAATATTGAAACCATGCTCTGGAATAGAAACCAATTACTCCCTTCTTTCTGTCAGGACCAGCCCCCTCAGAGTCTCATCGTACAAGGGCCATATTTAACCTCTCTGAGGTGGGGGCAAGTGGCTGGAGTGCTGTGCAAGGACCCAGCGAGTCTGGCTATACGAACTTCACAATATCCAGCCCAGCCAATGCTGTCATTGGACGATACAACCTCAGCCTCCAAGTAACCTCAGGGAACAAGATCTCCTGCCGATTCCTGGGACAGTTTGTGTTACTCTTCAATCCTTGGTGCCCAGGTAGGTACCAATGCCTTTGCTCTTGAACACAACTGACCTATTTGCTTTCACATCTGCAGAGGGAGCTTGCTCCCTCAAGCTGTCTCTCTTTGGGTCCCCAGCAGCAATCTCAGCTATCTGTTCAGAGATCTGGTTTTACTACATTAAAAAGCTGCTGCCGCACCCCCTCCCTTTTCATCCTAATGAAATGTGCTATATGGGGTAATATAATAGACTCTTCTTCAGGACTGAGCAGACCACTTTTTTTCCTGACTTTTGTAAGTGCATGTACTTCTCAGAATTTGAAACAAGCATACAGTAATGTCCTTGACTTGCACCCAAATCAAAGCAAGACTGCTCTTGTAGACATTAACTGCAAAGACAATAGCTCATCTAAGTTCATAAAAACTGACAGAAGGATAATGTGAAGAAGACTGGTATTTCCCATATCTTTCATCATGTGTTGAAAGGGGACATCTCTTCCTGCTCCATTTTTTATTTCTGCAGCCTCAGCATGTTGCAGAAGAAATGCAATTTCTTCAGCTCAGATTTTGCAAATCTGCAATAGTCTAGAAACCTATATTAGCCCTAAAATATAGCACTCTAAAATTAATGGAGCTCTTAGCCAGCCAAGTGACTAACCAGCTTATGAAAGAAGAGAAAAGTAACCACCATCATTCACTGTTTTCTTCTGTGACCATATGTTAGTCAAGGGCCACTAACAAATATGTCAGAAGCCAAGATGAAAAAAAATCTGCTAACTAGCTCAGCATGTCTTGGAAGACAGAAATAATTACAGAAATATGTTCACGAAACTCAGACTGTCTCCACATAGAAAGCCCAGAGGGAAAATGTCTGGGGCCTCCAACATAAAGACACAGACCTGTCGGAGCAGGGCCGGAGGAGCCATGGAGATGGTCTGAGGCTGGAGCAGCTCTTTTCCAAGGACAGGCTGAGAGAGTTGTGAGTGTTCAGCCTGGAGAAAAAAAACGCTCCATGGAGACCTTACAGTAGCTTCCAGTGCTGAAAGGGGGCTACAGGAGAGATGGGGGGGCTCTGGATCAGTGGGTGCAGAGATAAGACAAGGGGTAACAGTTTTAAGCTGAAAGAGGGGAGATGGAGATGAGATGTGAGGAAGAAATGTTTTCCTGTGCAGGGGGTGAGGCAGTGGCCCAGGGTGCCCAGAGAAGCTGTGGATGCCCCATCCCTGGAGGGGTTCAAGGCCAGGCTGGATGAGGCTTTGGGCAACCTGGGCTGGTGGGGGTGGAACTCGATGATCTTCAAGGTCCCTTCCAACCCTAACCATTTTATGATTCTATGAAAAACCTTCCCAGAACCTCCTGAAAGATCCCTTGTGGTGTAACTTCTAATTGATGGAAACCACTCTGGGGACTGAAATATTTGACAGCTCCTGAACTGGAACACCAGCATAGCACTGGTACTCATGAGACTAGACAAATTGCTCTCAGATGAAATCTGAGAAAAATTAAGCTGCACCATTCCAGCTGAAAACTAATGATTTTGCAGAAGGCATTTATCAGATGATGCAATGACCACTGCCAAACAAGAGGCAGAATCCTTTAAATAGGATGCTGCTGAATAAGCTTCTGCAGAGTGGAATAGCTCCCTGATCCTGACAGACAGGAACAGATTCAGTTTGAGGGTATGTTACCACTACAGTATCATAGCAGAAGGGAAACAGAAAATTTATTTTCTCGACAACAGATAAATGGCAGATCTAGTCTGTAGATATGGTTCCACATGGGAGCTTATTCATAAGCTGGAAAAGACAGAAATTAATTAATAAACTGTAAAGAATTACTAATAAGGAAACAGTCAGGACTAGAGATGAAAGGAAAAGCAGCAGGTTGGAGAAAATCTACCAGTAGATCCTTAAGTGTCATCTGAAAAAACACTGATCAAATGGTTCATTACGGACTTTGATAGGCTGACATTAAGCAGCATTGTCCATACGCAGATGGGCTAGGATATCACATAGAAATAACTGGCTGAACTTAGAGACTGGAGTCAGAAGGGACAAGATATAATAATACAAAATAAAAGACTATAGGTTTAGGGAGAAATAACAATAATTTCAATGGCAGACTTAGCAGCTGGAAATAATGAAGAATGTGAAAGTACTTGTTAATCAAAGAATGAGAATGAAAGTGAAATGTCACTGAAAAAGGCAAATGCAATCTTAAACTGTGTAAGACAAAAGAGTTACTCGGATTTAAATGTCGATTTCATTGTGTGATGTGGCAAGACCTCATTTGGAATTTTCTTTCAGTTAATCTTTCCTAAACAGGAATTATTAATTAGAACACGTTCAGTGAAGGGGCTACTGGGAAAACTGAACACTCAAAAAGCCTTTTGGACAAGAAAAAATTTGTAGTTTAGAAAGCCAGAAGCAATTAGTTTCACAGGTCATATATCTGAAATAAATACAGAATTTGGACACAGAAAATACTGTTCTTACCATAACAGTATCAAACCAACAAGCTTATTAATTCACCAACACATTTGTTTCAAACCTGTGGCTGAAACAAGTGATGTTTTAACATTAAAGTCTCTTAAGAACATTTGAAGAGAAATCTACGATACTTGCTAGCCAGCCTCTGATAATGATGCATTATGTCCTAATGCTATTGAAGGACTGTACTAGAATAAAGACTGCTAATCATGAATTAAGTGAATGATCATACACCGCTCATCTATAGCTCAAAAGTGAACAATTGTAAAGCTTTAGGGGATAAAAGGATACGTATGTTTGAGAATTCTGCAGAATGTATCTGTTTCCCTGGATGCCTGATACTTGCCACTTGTTTCTGTGGCAAAGATTACCTGAGGAAATTACTAGAAGTATATCTATATTAGAAAGTATAATTACATTGATTAAAAACTATCAATAGAAATTTACATCCTGCTTGTTTCTCACTATGCCAGGATAAACTTGAACTTCAGAATGAGAGGACAGAATACAGAGTAGCCTTGTATTTTTGTATGAAAAGGAATTAATTTCACAAAAGATTAGGTGTATAGTGGTCTTTCGACAACTGCCAAAAAAGAAGAATATCATGGCTGATCGTGGTTTTTTTTTTTTCTCCTTGTCTGCTGAGAGTAACAGAAGAAGGGGTTGTTAGTATTTAGTCATACATGAAAGGACGATGTTTGTTGTGGTGTGTTGTGGGTTTTTTTTCCCTCTTTTTAAACTAACGTTAATTTTGCTCTGAGTTATTGGTAGGAATAGTGTTATTATAAAAAAAAAGTCTAAGTACGCTTATTCAAAGACTTCTCTAGAGCATTATAATTGAGAGCATATAAACTTTTGAAAAAAGATGTTCTTCAAGTGGTTATAGAAGGGCATTTAGATTACTCAGAATCACAAACTCCTAGAGCTACAAGGATCTTAGAAAGTTATCTAGTCCCACACCATGCTCTAAGGCAGGTT